GAATAGACTAAAAGTAAAAATGTTTTCCAATGAAAGAGATGAATAGCAAAATATTCAGCAAAATTTATTGCTACAACATGGTCATAAAATTTGGATCAGCTAAACTGTTCTTGCAATTTGTAGTATTTTTTCGTCAGATAGAGGAAATGTAAATCAATTAACTTTCTCATCAAATTTCTCAGCTCTGTACCATTCTCACCCGAGGAGGGAATTTAAATTAATTTATCTCCACATATCCGGTCTCTCACTTCTTGCAAGGAGCTTCTACTAAACTGCTAACCTGTATTGTGGAGGTAAACCACTTAGGTAACAAGCAGAATGGATGGATTTCGTGTGCTGGAACACTTGTGGTACTGTCGGGACTCCGCCATCGCTTCATACGTTCATTATGCCACCCGAATAATCCTCACAATGTGTCCCCTTTCCAGTGTGTAATCAATATCGCAGAAGACAGCCGACCAGCATGGAAATATACGTGCGGGTAACCTCACGAACTGTGCAGGTGGTCTCGTGTGGCAACACTGCAGTTAAACGCAGAAAGCATCTTATGTGGTCAACCAGTAGTGGGTACATATTGCTAAGTGACCGTATCCTCTCTGTCTTCCATTCTCTTTTCTCTTTATCGTCTCACTTCTTCTCTTCATATTTCTCTATTACTTTTCTGTTGGGTTTAGCTTTTATTGAGAGGGAGCGCAGATCTCGTGTCAATTTCTGGAGCAGTGGAGAAAAGCGGAATTAGTTGCTCTCCTATCGAAGGTTCAGGTCTAACCCTGTCACGGAGAGTTTCCAAATTTCTCGAAATCTCCAGGGGTTTCCTTTTTCTGGGACAGGGTCTTTTCCTTTTTTTTCTGAAAGTCTCTTTCGAAAAGTTTTTCTGAAAAATTCTCGTTCTAAAAACTCTTCATACTATAAGAAACTATGTTGAGTTTTGACTATTGTCTCATTTGTCCACTACAGAAACAATCCGGTCATAACAAAAGGTCAAACACAGTTATAATTTGTAGATCGAATATTTTCATAAGTGTTACACACATTTGCTGCTATCGTTATAAAGAATGATAGTACTATCGTAAAGCTTTTAAGAAAATGATAGTTCAAGGTCGAAGGGCGCTGGAAGAATTGAATTCGCTTTCTGTTGGATAATTTTTCTTCCCATTTTCACAAAATATTTAAAAGTTTTGAAAAGTTTCAATATTATAAGCCATTATTGATCATTCGTCAGTTCATAAGAATTTGCTCATATTCTTTTCTAGAGTGAAGAAATTTATGATGATGAGCTGCAAATCGTAAGTAGTTTTTGTGCTTGTATTAACAAATTCAGGATTTTATTCAGTTTTAATCCATTTGAAACGATAATAGTAGAAATAGTTTTAGTTGGAACGAAAAAAATTATCATCTTTCTTTGACTTCTCATACGATCTTACTACATCATCAGAACATGTAGTGTAAAATGTCAAATAAGAATTGTCTTATCATGATGATTGGAATGATTAAAAAACATTTTGTTGGATTTGTTCAGTGAGCACTCATACTATTTGTTTTGGTTATTATAAAAATATCTATGAAATGAGATTGTGAAACTTTTAATTTCATTATAACTTTCTATGATTTATTTCAGACATTCAAATCTGTTTTCTGACTAGGGTCGCATGCCGTGTTAATGCTTACATCTTTTGTCCTTCCTTTTCCATAGTGGCCCAATTTAGAGCATTCACATAAACGCTTATTTTTAAAGCACTCCGTATCAGGTTTCTTCATGGGATAAGGAGGCTGATATATTGTTTTACTGAAGGATTTGAAATTCTCCACTTACATCTTTAAAAATTATCAGTTATGCATCTTCACAACTTAACAATTTGGAAAAGGTTGAGATTGAGACTATATGCGTGGAAAAATTTCTTAATTCATTTGGTAAGTTTGAATTTGGCATAGTCGATATATGAAAAGGTGTAATTGTAATGAACGAAATCGAACAGCAAAAATTCTATCATGAATTCACTTTTCACACATGAATATATGTATATGTTAGGACGGAAATGGTTTGAAATATTTAACAGATTCGATTGAATACAAGAACTCAATTAAAATTAGCAGCAGATGTTTATGTGAACAATAAAAAAAAGAAAGATTTGATTTGCATAAAGATTGGAGTACGATAGATTCAATTGAAATAAGCAACAGATGTGAAATTAAACCAAAATAAAAAACAAAAAGAAAAGTGCACGAGAAATGGCTTAATAAAGAACTGAAAAATTGGCTAAATGATTCGTAGCATTGTTAACATTTCGCAATTTGAGTGATTAATTCTTACATAGAATTATTTTATTTTGTTTAATTTAAGGTTCGTAATATTCGAAATTCGCACAACATGAGCTATGCCAGAAAAACCGAAGTAAATTTATAATATGTCAAAATGATTCTGTAGGGTTGTCTTACTTAAATATTCCTTACACAAATATAAGAGAATCAATTTTACATCTGAGGTGAGGAATTATTTTTCCAACATTTATCTTCCAACTGTAACCGAGTGAGCTTACATGCGTCATATAAACTATCTAGAATGTTACATTCTGTTAACAAAGAATACATGTACTTTTAAATGTCCTATTTAAAAATTGTGTTTTCACTTAGAACAGCAATATTAAATTCTAAAAGGTATTCATCTCTGATAAGCTTACAAATGAATGTATCCACCAGAATAGTTTCATGACTAATTATGCAAAGCCGCAAAACGTAATCACCTGTATGTATCAGGAAACCTAGCTATAAATTAAAGACTGTGTTATAGATAAATATAAAACTTTTTTGCAGTTGTAGTTAAGCTTATGTAAACTGTCTAGAATGTTACCTTCTGTTAACAAAGAATATGTGCATTGCTTAATATGTTACTGTTAAGATCCGCCAGTGTAACAAGCAAAGTTGCATTCGACTCTTCAAGAGATTGCAAGTTCTTTGTTCAATGAACTACCTGTAATACCTGTAAAACCAGTCTACCTGCAATTTCGATGATAGCTCTTTACTCGCTAACCTGTGTTCTGTTGTAAGCCAACGCCAGTTATGTAAGAAATTAAAACCATTTTTGGATGTTGCAAGTTTCGATTAGGTTGGTGTCATCGATCGCTCATTCAATTTACTTCAGCAACGGTAGTGCAGTGTAACAATAACAGTGATGAAAATATGACAACTTAGCAGGCATTTAGTAGACTACTGGTTTAATTTAATATTAAGTTGTTCAGTTTTTCCTCATTATTGTATAAGCCCGATATTGTACAATGCGTAAAAGAACAGTAAAAGTATTATGGACGTTGGAAAGCTATAACAGCAGTAATAACAACCTACTGAAGAACTTCCCCTGGCAGACTGCTGATATCTGTTTGCTTCATACACTGAGAATTGCCGATTTCCTACAAAATTTAGCATTTTTCCTGCAAACTACTTAACTCTCTTTGACTTAGGACTTAAAAAAAAGTAATAAGCTATTTTAGGTACTGGTAACATTCTCTGTAATCAAATGCTATACATTTTTTTCGATTACTCCTAGCCACTAATAAGCTGTTGTTAATCCAATTTTCTGTGCTCTTCATTATAGAGAAATCTCAGAATCGAGAGTTATGGAACTTGCACAGTAACTGATTTCAATAAGGAAAAGCAGCCGTCGTGTTACTGCCAAAAAATACGTAATTATGGTTACCAATCACCCTCACATCCCGTGATTGGACTAAGATGAAATACGTCACAGTCACAAAAAGAAAATCACAAAAAAATTTTTATGTTTAATCACAAAGAATGTATTTCTGACAGCTTCTCCGAAATCAAAGCATCCGAGAATCCAGGTCCTAACTTCTTGAGCACCAGCTCAAGTATTCGATATGAAAATATATTTCCACAGTCCGTTTGTTCAACTCACTTCGCTCAAGAATAAAATCCCGACCTTATAACATTTGAAAAACTTTGATACAAGAGAGTCCACTAATTTCATTTTTTATGCAGTACCACTTTTAAAAGATAATTTCATGGACGAATACTTTGCTCATCCAAATGAGGTAGAATCTAAGTATTACAAAAAGTCCAGTATTACTAATTGGAAACGGCTTATTAATTTATATAAGTCGATGCAAGTGTCACTCCATGCAGAAATGAAGAAACACAACTTTAAGGATCTCATATTAATCATTTTCATATACAATCAATGGAGGAATGTTTATTATGAACAAAAGATCTGAAGTGTTCACAAGCAAAATTTTCAATTTCTACGCTGTATGTCACGAAATATTTCATTCGTTTAAATTCAGATTCCAAAATTATTGTATTTCCCATATTTGTTAAGCCGAATTCAAAGCATTATCTTACAGATTATTTCCGGAACGGGGACTTCCCCTACACATGTGTATTCTTCCCTCATGTATGAACTGTACTAAAAATCGTCATTGCCAACATGAAAACTTTCGGCTGTCCCACAGCGTTTTCATCTCCAAGAATGTGCTGACAAATAAACGGGTAACAAAAGTGTTTCAATCAGTCACACAATACTCACTCTGTAGAAACCAACCCATAGTTTATCTAGGTACAGCAAAATCAAGGTCACCTGTGTGCACTTTTGCTTTTATAAATATCTGATGAGCACTGTTACCAGTAACCTATTAAAATTTGAGCGTGGTTTTTTCAAGTATGCACTAATATAAAGCATTGAACATTAATATCCTTTTTATCAACAAGTCGTTCAGAATTCTGTATATTTAAATATATGTTCATTATTTTATCTAAAAAATATAACAAATAAGAAATAAGGAAACAGACATCTGATAGAAAAAAAGCTCGCAAATTGAAACCATCAGAAAATGAACGCTCACGATGGAGTTTAGTCCAAATTCGTCACATATAACCATGCTGGATGCGTGATAAGTTATTAATCTCATACGAAAACGTAGCTCACGTGCCACTGTTTCAACTGTTGAGCTATTGACTCTTATTTACCCAGAAACAAGAGTCAAACTTTAACCTCAGCATCCCGTAGCTTTTAGTGCTTGCCCATCTTCCTTAACCAACGTTAGCGTCGTAAAGTTCTGAAATTTAAATTAAGAAAAGCTCTAAATTCCGTTAAATACAACATCTTTAATGAATGATTCTGCAAGTCATGTTAGGCATGTGTACAGAATGTGTGATGTAGAAACATACTTCGGCAACAGTCGGATGAATACCGATTAATCGATCAAAATCGGCTTTTTTCGCATCAAATTTCAAAGCTATTGCAAAGCCTTGTGTTATTTCACCTGCATTTGGTGTGAGAATGTGAAAACCAAGAATCAAGTCCTGGAATTTAGCAAAATGAAATCATGTCAGTTAAAACACATATTAAACTGAGGAACTGTAACTTTCCTATTTTAAAGTCAAACAACAACAAAGAGTAAATTACTTGTTCATTTTTCAGACAGATAAGTTTACAATAACAGTGTGCTTTTTCTTTTCGTTCCGTCACGGCGTACTCAAGAGGAATGAATACATTATGATACACGTTGATATTTTCTTTTCCATATCTAAAAAATTCGAAATGCACATTAGTTTATAAAATATTTTGATTGAAGCAGAGAAAACACTTCTACAACCAGTAATATAAAATGCTTCATAAGAATCCGTTGAATCCAAAGTAAAAACTTTCAGGGATTCACAAAACAGGACCTAGTTATAGTAATCTCAAAATCATAACTCGAAATTACAGTTATTCTTATGCCTGACCTATACAAAAATAAAGTTAAACATGCGAAAAATTACTTTTGGATAGCAGAATACTCCGATAATCCGCAAGAACCATATTCCAACGGTGTAAATACTGTCGTCGGTATTTTATCATATTCGGTGAGCTCAGAATTGCCAGTGAAAAGACGTCGCATTAAAACTTTACCTGCTTGTATTGCAACAGGTGTAAGCTCTGGAGAGCCATATAGCACATCACCAATGGCATAAACATAAGGACAACTAACACTTTGCTCTCTTCTTCCAATTATTTTGCCAGACTTTGCACGGTTTACACCGACTACATCCAGACCAAGATCATCTGTCATAGCATCACGTCCTATTGCCATCAAGACCTGTTGAAAGAATAATTACAGTTTGTTCATACATAAAAATATGCCTGAAAAATCAAAAAAAAAAAATGAAAAATGAAAAGTCACACAGCAATAGAAACAAATAAAAAACAGACTGTATTAAAATCTTCTGTAACTTCCTTTGTTCCATCTTCATCTTCCTGGATCGTATGAACTCTAATCATTCCTGGTTCACTGTCGGTTGGCTTTTTGAGCCTCTCATATTTGATTGGTACACATCTTAAAAAGAGGCCTACATTACACTGACCACTAATGAGTTTTACTTTTGCTAAAAGTTACTCCTTTACTAAGCACTTTGTTCTTCATTGTGAACTAAACACTTGAACGGACTCACAGCACAGCTTTACGGTCGCAAAACTATTCGTCAGTTGTCAATGCACCACAATCTTCAATGAAAGAGTAAGCAAAAATCTAGAAAAGAGTGTTAAAAAAACCCACACAATTTCCTTACAATATTGTAAAAAACAAAAACAAAAAAAAAAAACTTACTGGACAAATTTCACACCACGTTCTGTCATATGTTTCTTAATGCGTTCTGCCATATCTTGATCGAAACCACGCAACAAAATTGATCTAACCATAACCTGAAAATATGTGAATTTCAGCAAATAAAATAAAGCCTAGACCAAATAAAAAACAAAGTAAATAATAATCTTAAGATCTAAACTGGAAGCCAAACTGCAAGCAAATCATTTTGGCACTCAATTTTGAAAACAAAGTTTCTTATGAGCAGTGAGTGGTTGAAGTTTTGTACAGTAACTGTAATCGCATCAAGAGAAGGAAAAGTGAGAAAGTTAAAAAAAGATTAATCACTACAAAAAATCTCGAAAATACTATGTCAAATTAAACTGCAAGGAACAGCTATTAAAAAAAAAAAAAAAAACTAACCGTGACATCATTACCAATACCTTTCAAAAATCCAGCACACTCCAGCGAAACGTATGATGCACCGACACAAAGAGTTTTTCCGGGATTATAGGGCAATGAAAACAAATCGTCACTGTAATGAAAATATAAATACCTGAATAAATTTAACCAAGTGTGAAAAGAAATGAACTGAATTATGTTCAATTACATAAACATAGGATATGGATATACCTGCTAATACAGCATTCCAATGCTCCTGGAACATCAGGAAAACGTGGCCTCAATCCGACAGCGATCAAAAACCTGTCAGCAGTAACTTTTTCTACTTTTCCTTTCTTGTTTTTGACACTTAGTTCATGCGAACCAGTAAAAGTTGCGTACGAGTTCATATACGTTACCTGGAATAAGAACAAGAAAAAGGAATGCATTAAAAACACCTTGCTTATCTATACAAAAGTTTTCCGTTGATGGATGACACACAGTAAGATGCTACCTACTCATAATGTTCGTAATGACTATTGTACCCGCTACTACTTATAGATTCACAATATTATGAAAATATCTGTTGACACAGCATTTCAATGCGAAACACAGCAATTCAAATGCAATAAAATTTCAGGTTTTATTTTAAATTTTACCAAACAACATTCACATTATTGATGGCATTCTTAAGTAAGAGTAAGATATATTAAAACAAAATAACGAACTGATTTTTCTTTTAGTTGAACTCGATATCCCCAATTCAACGAAGCAATATGATTTTGCACAGCATTTTTCAATTGATGCCAGTTTAACTTTATTGCACCTTCCGGTATTTCCCAGCCAAACTTCTTAGCATCTTCTAAAACTATTCAGTAATGAAGGACTCACCAAAAGAAAGTGAAGCGTCAGAAACGACAGCATACGAAGAACTTACCGATATATTCGCCCAAAAGTGCAGCTTGGTGCATCAATTTCTTCGGTATGCAGCCCACATTAACACAAGTTCCACCTAATCCCCAAGTTGTGCCCATTGCTGATGGTTTAACAAAATCCAAACAAACCACTTTTTTGCCTAGACGAACAGCTTCCTAGAACCGAAGGCAGATATCAACAATTTCTAAATACAAATTTTACAGTATTTAAGGCAGCAGTTGAAATTAACCTTTGCAGCCGCTAAACCACCAGAACCACCTCCAACAATAGCAAGGTCATACTCATGTTCCTTTAACCATTCGTTCAAAAAACCACTTTCCTCCAACTGATAAAGTTCTTTGAAACCACCACAACAGTTCCCCTAAAAAACGAGAAAGGAACCAATCGTCAAATAAAATATCTTCTTTCAGTAATTTTTATATACGCAGCTTTCTTCTCAATTTTACATGACCTAAATTATTGAACATTGATAATCACTGGAAAAGTCAAGAGTGAATTAAAAAAAGTCCGATGCTGTGATATTTCCAAAAAGTCTTTTTACAAACGTATTCAACATATTTTTTGAAACCATCCAAAATAACATAATAAATGCTTCCAATAAATTGTAAAAACAATCCTAATGAAATGAATATAGAACATACTTTAACAAAAATAAGCGGCATTGATGGCCATCTAACAATCTCTAATATGTTCTTAACAGCATCGTTACTGACACGTACTGTATTCACCGTTTCATTATATTTTGAAAATAAATTCACAACCTACAATAAATATATAGGCTAAGCGTAAAGAACAAAATAACTTTTCAAATGGAAATATCTGCCACTAGGTGCGCCACCTTAGAGTACGTAAATTTTTATTTCGATCTCAGACAGCTGAATTCACCTTTGTCATGTCCGGGTTATAATCAGCATAAGCTAGCAAAATCCGTTCTTCACAAGCTGATTTGAAAACTGCATCAGCTAATGACCCACTGCTGACACGATTAGAAATTGGAGACATCGATGCTTCCCTTCCTGATCTATTTCCTCGTCGGCTTCTTTTATCTGAAATGTATGCATAAAAAAGATATTGTGAAATATTTTAAACTACAGGAAGGAAGGAAAATTCTAGCACTTTTCCATAATATCGATTCCTTGATGTGAGAGTATCTCATATCTCTAATATTCAGTTGAAAGAAACTCATTACTTCTGTGTAGAAAAAGGAATTCCGAACCCATCTTATCACCTATACCCTTATCTTTACCTACAAAAGAATTCCCTGAAATCCATAAATTCCGTAGACTTTTTAAAACGAGATTCCTGAACTAAACAACAGATTAGAGCTTCCTGAGATGGGGCACACAAAATTCAGAGTTCCCTGAGGCAATCCATCATTTTGGGCAATCAGATTTAAACAAGAAATAAAAGCATATGCAACGCATCATATAATTTCGAGAATATAACAAGTCTTAGAATATAAGATTTACGGTCAAAATGACCTGTAGCATTTGAACGTAGGAGATATGCCTGAGCATTGCGGAAGATCCCCAGAAACAGTAAGCCGACAGATATCATGTCCCATATATGTTTGGATACACACTGTGGTGTATCTCTTCACTCACTCCAGCTATAAGTAATTTATTTAACTTTAACATTTCCTGACGGAAATATCGCACCCTATGCATCCTTGTGCGCCAAATGCCAAGTTGAATTCAAGACACACAAAATATGCACGGCAAGATGACAACTGAAACTCTTCCTAGCTACGTACTATGTCCACTGATTTATGATTACAAAAAAAGCTTTCGCACGAATGTATGAAACTACTATATTAATATTTTTTCATACATCAATCAATTTCTCCATTGAAATCATACTCTTTGAGTACTTAATTTCCTATTAGAAATCAGTTACTAATATACCAGCATCTTTTATAAAAAGAAACAAGACAATGGCTTTTATCCTAGCTAATACTCTGAAAAATCAAAAATGAAAAGAGGCACGTGAGCCTCTCCAATCGAATTTCCTGACCTGAAGAATGACCACCTTTGTACTCGATGAGTCACCACTCCTTTAAATGAAGAACTGGAAAGAAGGAAGAATAAAGAAATCACATCTACAGTATCACAAATGCGACAATATATTTTGTGAATGAATTTCAAGAATGTTCCACAAGCATGAGCAAGAGAACACTGAACACAAGTTATCATTCGAGTACCACTCCAGAGTGTTTCATTAATTAGTTTATTGAAACACAAAATAGATAATAAATTCTTGCAACATGTATTAATCTCCGTGACACTGTCCATTTAGTAAATGACCGAGATAGGAAAGAGTTAATAACCATGACATGTTCTTGCTCAAACTGACATCACCACCGTTCAGTAAATTTCATCACCACTCACACTTTTTTTCAATTCGTCCCGAAAAGTTCCCTGAACCGTAGTACTGTAACCGCCTATTGCAGCAGAGTACTTTGACAGAGTGAAACGCTACTTCCAACGTACCACTCTTCTATAAATGGTACGGGGTGAGGTCGTTTCCACGTCGATTAATGCCTCAGTCCAAAGATTTAAGCGTAGTGTATTAGCTGCATATATGCTGCATAGCGCACAGACGGATCCATTTACTGCTAAGCTAACTTTTCATCTTTTTAAACATTCCATCTTAATTCAACTAAAAAAATGCTTTCTCAATAATAATGTTACACCGGAAAATATCGACTTTTCCAACAGTTGAAAAAGTTGGAAAAAAAATTTTTTTTGTAATAGCTCCGCAGTTACCAACTCCTGATCCATTATACAGTGATGCATGCATATAACTGAAGGAATTTTTTATGTTTCACAACCAAAGTTTTTAATTGGATTTCAGTAAAATTTCAAGTCAACAATTTAAAGAAATGTTTCAACGATCCCGAATTGCATCAGGATGAAGATCAACAACTACTGAGCTATTACACAAAATTTTTTCCCAATTTTTCTACACTTCCTAACTTTTTAGTAAAAAACTCCGCACTTGAAATCAATCAATAGTATTTAATCAGCACATTCCAAGGTTTGCTTTATCTTTTAGTATTTTTCAAATCAGAAAAAAAAAAATGTCAAGTATATGACATAGACAACAAATCCTAGGTGATTAATACTTGGAAAAAAGTTTTTATGGGTTGAACTTGATTCCAACAGAAATCGTACGTCTCTCTTCTCCTTCCCACAACAAGAAAAAAATTAAAAAATTTTCATGAAAAAATTCTTTTTTGCGAAATTGTTACCACCCTCTATTACAATGTACAAAATACTGAAATGTTCTAACATATATATATGTTGTGTTCACCCTCTTCAAAACTACTTTTGAACTTCCTTTCCTTTCTTCTTTTCTTTAAGTCCTTTCTCAAAATTACAGTAGCACTTCAGAGAAATCGAAAAAAAAAAATTACGTGTATGTATTACCAACAAACAATTTCAATAATCTGGTCCTATATAAAGGAATGTTTTTAAACTGATAACCTGATGTTGATTTGTAATTACAGGAATTGTGAACTGCTGAATTTGGTTGACGTGAGACATCGCTGCGACCAACACTCCGAGAACATGTTATCCAGTTGTAGCAACGTATAAAAGCTTCCAGCTTGCTTCGATTAAAATCAGCTTAACATATTACAACGCTGTTAAGAACATTTCTTTACATTGTTAGCACGTGAATATGCGTTGCACGACTCATGTAGTTTGTACAATTTTCCTCAAACCACACATTTACGCAAAATGTTCCAGAAAATTAGAAAACATTTGATAATCTTTTTCACCGAATATTACTCCAAGCAAATTTGAATTTAATTCTTAAAATCTTTTTTTTTTTTTTACACAGATAAATCTGAGCAAACATAAAACCCACCAGTCTAATTTAAAATGATTAATCATCCGATCTGTTATATCCTTACTAACATATTATTATGAAAAGTTTTCAATGTGAACAAAGTTTCCAATTTTTTTTTTTGATTTCACTTACCCAATTCTTAATTTAAATAAATACTTGAGAAGACTAAGCAAATTCCGGCTCACTAAGCTAGCCGTCACTGAACTGATTAACTAACTTCTCACAGTTACACAGAACAAAGGTACCGTTGTGAACTGGTGAAAATTTTTTACATTTCCTTTCATTTTTTCATCAAGTAATTCTATAGGCGGGACTTGTTTTCCAATTGTAATAATACACTGATTATAAATGGATAATTCTTTCGTGAAGAAATAACTTCATCTCTGAATTCAATTATTCTCTGGTTGCACATATCTTCTCAAGAAAGGTAAGTATGTTGAATGTTAACATTCCATTGATAATTCTGAAATAATAGATGAGTGGAAAACAGATGATATATTTAACTGTTGGGACAATGTCAACTAAAAGCAATATGAAATATATCATAGATACTTGCTCATTCCCAGCAATAAAAAACAAAAAATTTAATCACCACAAAACTTTCACTAATCGCATGCTTAAATGGCATTTAAGGGGAAATACTTCAATAAAAAAAATTCAACCTACTGCACTATCACGCACATACGTCTTATTTTCATATTCTTAATTCTTATTTTAAATGGTTTTAGAAATTTTCGGTTAATGAAAAATTATAAAGAAAAAAAAATAACACCACAGAATAGTAGATTTGGGATGAAATAACGTATTCATTAATGATAATCTTTCATTAACATTTAAAAAACAGTAATTCTTAAAGTCACATTTTTAGTGAGTTCAGCTGTATTATGTGTGTATTGCAATTTTATTTGCACCAAGTGTTTGTCTAATGGTGTTAGAACTCATTTAAAAACTATGAAAAAACCAAAAATCATAATAAAAAAAAAGAATGACAAAACAGAAAAATGCAGGATGTTAGAAATATTAAATTATCCCATGAAAACTGGAAAAAAAGTATACTTATTCTTTGATTTGGTTCTCGCCGTTAATTGTATGAAGTAATCGATAACAGTTAAACGAAGTGGTTCAGCATATACTTTGGTAACAAACAACTGACAACAAAATGAAGAAATCAATATTGCACTATGATTATTATCAAAAGGAAACTACACGCTAGCTACGATGAACTGTTTTTCTTTTTTCTTTTGTATACTGGTATATGTTATGATTACCAAGAATATTTGATAATTTGGTGTAAAGTATGTTCCAGTAATTGAGCAATAGTATTTGAAAACCTCCAACAAATTTATATTGTTAGTAGCCAAGCTATATGGTTTAAATTACTCACTGGGATTATTTTTGGACAAGCACTCTCAAACAGAAATTGTTATAGTCTGAAATACATAAAGTTTACATTTAAGATATCAGGAGAAAAATATTCCAGAGAAGAAAGAAATCGCGCTCAGAGACTGCAATTAACTTGATGCATATATCAATATTGACCGTCTCTATATGAGGACAGTTTATACTTAAAAACTGTGAAGAAAGCAATAACCGCAGTCAGGAGTTAATCAATCATCAATCATATTCATTTTAAAATCAAAACTTAATGATTGTTCCGAATACATCTTGGAAGTGAAAATTATTAAAGAATGCTTTTTGATTCTTCGAGCTCCTATGGATTTCTCCAAAACTCCTATATTAACGCCAACCCGAACCGCGTACCATGAAGTGCAACATTGCATCAATATCCTTGAATGCCACATCTTCAAAATATTTGAATGATCTCCCAGCATTATAATTTGAATTGACACATGTGATTCAAATGAAGCGCACATTTTCGTTTCGTTTTAAATAATTTACATATCGTTATGAACTCTTTTACAATCCCTAAATGCACACAACATTCCTTAGGGTGTGAACTGAAATCCAAAATCTTTCCATATTAAAATCATTTAAAATTTGAGATTAATACTTTAGAATTATACTATCTTTTATTAAAAACCAAAAGCTAATAACACAAACAACAGTAATATATAACCTTAATGGCTGTTCCAAAGAAAAATCCAAATCACTAAATAAATTTCGGAATCATGAAAATACTGTGGTCTAAAAGAATTCAAAATATGGAAGAACACTAAATTCTATGGAATAATGTGCATGTATAGCGATACAATAAGAACTTTGCGGTTCAAAAACAAAGAGATCTTCGAAAAACATCGATGCAGTGAGTTTAATATCTCAAGATAGAGTCGTAACATTTCATAACAGAAACTAAGGAATCGAAGTAACGAAGGCTATACTATAAGCAGATCGGTTCAAATGGATTTGTAGATATTCGACTGATTACTGACACGTGCGATCATTGCTTGTTCAAATTTGTAAGAAAAATCCAATAAATTTGTAAAAAATTTTATTTATAAAAATATAAAATTTATGAAAAACACTCACCTTCCATATCTACACCTTACTTTTAATGGATCACCAGTCCACACTTCTTCATTATCACTACTTTTTAATTTTACCACAATAAAATGTCGTTGTAACCAGCTCTTTCTGAATAGTTTCAGACCAACCCAGCACAAACCAAAGGAATTTCTGTTACTACGATGTAAAAATTTAACCTGAATAAAGACCTTACATTAACGCAACAGAAAGAATTAAAAATCAAGCGCAGTACATTTCATTTCTAAAAAAATTGAAAGGAAACAACCAAAACCATTGAAGCTACACCATATATCATCCAAAGCAATTTATAAAAACAATAGTCATTAAGCAGCCAAACATTATGTAAGAATTCACTGAAGATAACCCCTTTCAAAATTAAGTATACCTTCCCATATTACAACGTGAAAGACAACCCAAACAAAACCATATTACACCTGCGTAATAAAAATAAATAAAATTGAAAAACGGCAGAAAAACATTTGTTTGTAACTTAATACTTTCCTAAAAAAAATGTAATCCAAAAAAGTAGGACTGTTAATGCAATATCATCCCAAACAACCATGGAATTTACACATTCATAAAGTAAAAACGCATTTTCTTCCATAGAAGCATAACGGAATGTCTTTCACGTCCCAAAGAAATTTTAAAAAATATAATGCTTTATTTGTAGGTACAATTAATGAAGGGAGATCATACTGCTTACTAAACATCACATAGTATTAAGCAATAAAGAAATTACATGCTAGCTGCTTCTTGTATTCTATAGTTTTTTTTCTGTATATCTATAACTGTAGCATTAGAATCACAGACAAAATCTACCATGAATAACAAATAACGGTTGTCAGATTAAATTGTCCATTTCTTCTGTTAAACAACACTTCATCTTAAATAAAAAATCAATGGAATTTGGCTTTTTTTTTTGCATTTCCTTCTCACTTTTAAACTTTTACCAGAAGTGACGCTTACATCATGACACAAGCAGCGATAATTAGATAAATGAAGTGAAATAAACTACTATAAAAATTGGTAACAAACCCGAATAGCATCAATATTTGAGAGAATGATTAAGAAATATTGACAAAAAAAGCAACGACAAAACAACTACTAAAAAGAAAGAAAAGTCTACAGAACAAATCTATAATTTCTATTAAAAGTAATACAATTCGTTGACACTACAGTCCTTTCTCTTTCAAAAAATAAGATTATAGGTTGACAATCTAATTCCACATATAACTTATTAATGTGTTGCGGTGAACCGGAACAACAAGAACAGTCATTTGTATGATGCACCATTAATGAACGACTATTTGGTTAAACACAAATAGAGGGAAAAAAGATGATACTAAATAAATTGCTACGTATGCAAACAATGCAGGGAAAAATTTGGAGATATTACAAAGTAATTGTGAGCAGTATTTTCGGAAACAGAAATGTTTGCATTCTTGAAGAGAAAGACATTCTTGGATAGCATTTGGACTGCACTGCATATGACGGAGCATGGACTGGAAAACAAATGGAGATGGGGATTAACTGCCTAAATAGATATCAATTTTAATTCAAATAAAGCACAATTTTATTTCACTGGTGAAACAAAAAGTGAACAAAGAAACAAAACAAACAATGAAAAGAAAAAAATAATAGGCACTGTGCACCAAAAAAGCTCGACAATTTGCGGTTAGTTACTGCTACGGCAAAAGTATGGTACCGATAAGTATATTGTGTCATGGATAACGTAGAAGAGATTTCCTTTCTAATCTTCGGCCAGTGAACGAATTAGTGAACCCCACACTTTCCGCTGCTTTTTAACATCATCTGCGTTTAACTGCGTGAAATCAACAGTGAATTGGTCCCGTTTCAAACTCTACAAATTGACAAAATTGTAACTTGATTAATTTCTAAACATGATATAGTGGCATGAACAAACCTCCAACAGGTAGAATAACGCTCAATAATATATCCAGTTTAAACTTAATTCCGTCCTTAGTTACATATCAGGATAACCTGAGTTGGAAAGAAATTAGTGCATTTATACTATGAACTGTAGTTCGACATCCTCTTTACCATCACTGCTATTTTGTCGTAGACCTGGAAATATTTAGCCACTTTCCTATTACAGTGTCCAATTATTTGCTAAGTGAATAATAATACATTGCATAAAAAGTTCTCAAATATGAAATAAGATTAGGTAGTTTGATTAATAAAATCTTACGAATTCTCAACGAACCTCGATATAGTGTCGAGTGAATTCAATAACAAACATCCCACAGTCCATGCCATTATACTGTTTTGTGGCTCGTTCAATGCGTGTATCTATCGGAAGTCCGAAATACCTTGCCAGTATTTGAATCAGCTGAAGGACAAAAAAAAAAGAATCAAAAAAAATCTAAGCATTAACCGGATATTCATATAACATTTCAAATAGAATATTTTAAGTTGAGGTTTGTAAGAACCCTAATCACTATGAAATTTAATCCTTTCATCATAATTATACCAAAATGAAACTGTCATCAGTATGAGTTTTCGTTTCCTTTTATACATGAACAAACAATAAAGAACCAAAAACTACTGCACTTGATAATAGTTTCTGGTGATTCCAACAACGCTTTGCAAGTAGAATGTAATATACTGTTTTGTTATGGCCTTTTAACTAATTCTGCAATTTCAGTCCTTTTCTGAATAAGGGATATTTAATTCCTTCATCATAATTATACCAAAATCAAACTGTCATCAGTAAAGTGACAAGTCATACGATGTTGCTAATTCTTCACTCTTCCTTTCGCAGTAGGTTTGTTAGAGCATATATTTTGTTTTCAGAAGCCTTCTTTAACAGGTTCAACAAATACATACCTTATCCGTCGGTTTGCGATTCGCTGAACTGGTACCTTGTGCACTGTCAATGACCAGAAAATGAGGTCGAAGATCTCGGCGACAAATAAGCAATGACCAGTGACTTCCACCACTTCTTGACGGATCGTCATGATCGTTCACAACAAAAATAACATGTTCTTTTTCTTTAAGTGTAAGCTCATCAAGAAGGTCTGCCACCTCATTTGCTTTGGTTAGCTTAATTAGCTGACACACCGCTGCATTTACAAAGCTGATCTGAAATTAATGACTGCTTTTCTTCATGTCTGATCTCAACTCTTTCAATACAGTTTCACCGTGCTGACACAGATCCCGCTCACTACCTTGTACAACTACGGCCGACTATCCGGTTGCCAAAAACATTTTTCATCAGGTCTCAATTTTAACGACTTGGGGCTAATACTTCCTTTCTTTGACAAATAACAATGATGTAGGTACAAACTTTGCTTTTCTTAGTCTCATCCAAAGTTTTCTCATGAAGATATTCGAATGCGAACGAAATAACAGGATCACTAAGCCATCGTCCATTTTCTAACGCTTTCAAATCAGCCTCATAAAGTACAGTATCACCAAACGACAGAACACACCTCCCCGACTTCGCCATACTGCAAGATTTGAAACGATTTCTTTCAAGACCAATAAGTACTCGATAACTTAATCATGTTCTCGAACTGTTCCTCCTACTATTTATAAACAGTAATATTCTTGAAATATTTTCAAGAAATATGAAGCTACATACAGCCGTATGGGACAACTAAGTGTTCAACACGTAATTCCGTATCATATGAGAATAACTGATGAATGCTGTCAATTCATTGTCGGAGCTAAAATCCTATCTATTTAATCAAATATATCAAAAGAGAGAAAAAAAAAAAGAGAATTAAATAGTTGGTCTCACACAATATTCAGGGCAATCATTAAACCAAGATTTCGAAAAACAACAAAAAAGTTAGTTACAGAGAAATAAAGACCTGAACACCACCCAACGCGAATTACCAAACCATATCTTGGCAACTACTTCTGAACTACAGCACAAGATAAGCTACAGTTCACTTGGTACCACATCGTTTTATCTATTCACTTAAAAACACAAACTTTCGAAATGCTACATCTCCCTACTTCCTCTGAAGCATTAATCAAACTTTTTTTCATATCTTTAAAGATAATATGTTGAATTCCACTCTGATCAGGATTGAATAAGCAAACAGAAATAACTGATTCATATTCAGGAAAAAAAGATATATTGAATTTATTTACAGGTATACATTGATACATTACAAGGGATACTGGAATATTTACACATTTTTGTGCACTGAATATATCAATCATTATAATAAAGGAAACTGCTTTCATCTATTTCTGTTATTTTATTTATCAGTCATAAGGAGTGCCAAAACTATCCAGCAACTTAATTCAACCCTTTTTCCGAACAGTTGTCAAACATTGCAATAGCAGCCGTAATATACTGAATTCAAAAAAAGACTTGCAATGCTAACTTTCCTGTTTATCAGTGTTCAGTTGTTCAGAATTCGAATTTTGCTTAGAAGGAACGACAACTGGCTTAAAGATTTTTTAAAATATATATCACTCCGTCGGGTACTAACATTGCCTGACCACTGCCAATCCCATACTTTGATAAATTCACAACCTGGACGATTCAGATTGAGATCTGAGAGATATCTAAAGCCGTTCTCTTCATTATGAGATAAAGGACAATTTTTCCTTAACATTAATGAAGTAAATGAAACATCACAAAAGATGAGCTTTCTCAACTGATAAGATTTTTAGAAATGCAAATGAAGATTATATATATATACATATAAGTATAGTATTGACATGATATTTACACATTTGTCTCTAATTCTTGTTACACTTAATATTAATATACTATTTCCATTCTCTAAGTCCTACCCGTAATTTAAAAAGATAAACTTCTAGTCTATAATGTAAAACGGAAGCAAAAGTTATAAAGTACAACCAACAAACACTTAAAAATTCAAATCTGATATTGGTGAGCTAGTCCTGCATGCGAAACATTGCGTTCAGTAGCGGTCTGAAGAAATAATGTTGGCAGAAATAACTTACGGCCAGGTTTTTTGGAATGCATCTGGCATCCTGTATGTTTTATCTACTATCCACATACGATCGTTGTCATCATATTTTGTCAAAGGCAAATCATATGGCAACATATCCAAAGATTCAGGATCATTGAATAACACGCCAAATTCATATGATCGAATAGTTAATTGTGTTTTTTTTAACTGATAATCACCCCAAGCTGCCTAAAAAAAATTAAATATACTGCGACAGCTTAGCATAGACTGACAATGATAACCGTAGAAATATTCTGTTTAATGTACTTTTACGTGATTGTTTTCGATTAAATATTAATACAAGTTATAGAAACTTTTAAGACAAAAATGAGTGGACGGAAGGATTAAAGGGTACCTTAGAAAGGTTGGCACTTGTTACAAGTAACCAAAGTGGCTTTAGAGAGTTTTTAGCAAAAGCTGCATATGTCTTGATGTGCGGCATAGCGCGAGAACGTCCCAGATGATTACTGCGCCACTTGTACATGAAATCAAGCAAATATGGCTGCTTTACTGCCACACTATTATTGTAAGGAAACGAACCACCTGCTTGGTATCCTTCATTAGAATTTCGAACGTCTTCCACACAAGGATAAATAATTCGCAAATGCTTGCCATCTACAAAATTATCCAACTCATTAGAAAGAAAGTGAACTCCAATTTAAAAATTAAGAAACTTTTTACCGACGAAAAGCAATTAATTTTAAATAGACCTGTTTCTGCACCACCAGCAAGACTATTTAAAAATTGTCCCGTAAGCCAATATTGCGGTGCTGCTCCAAGACTACCAAGTGAACTAAATTGAACATGATAAGTGAATTCATCCATTTTTACATTTCCGAACAATTCTTTCAGTATTACACGCAATCTTGGATGACCATATTTCGTTAATTGAACGCCTGAAGTCTTAGTAAACTGTTCACCAAACCAACACAAAATCATCAAAATTACCAAAAAGATTGAACTAGATGGCCAATGGTGACAATCAAATGTCTTTCAGAGGATGTTAACCTCTTACTACGTTTCCACAAATTACAAGCAACCATAACAACCTTCTTCAATTTACTTGCAAGTCCTACAGAGAATTGAGCAGAAGCAATTTTTCACAATATCTTTTCTATAAGCTGCGGAAATCTATTTTCCATTGTGACCTATTCTCCCACAAATATTCCATGACTACAAGTGATTTTCATGAACCGAATTTAACAACGTGTAATTATATAAAACGTAATGAAAAAAAAAAAAGTGAACAAGATGACCTTTATGAGCTCCTGGTACAGAGTAAACAATTCGTGCCTTAACATGGGACAAGTTAATGCTAGCAACACGATCACGCCAATATTCAATAAGACCCCAATCTTGACTTGTTTTATATTCGTTCAAGTATTTTACAAAATCAGCCTGGAAATCGGATCCATTTGGGTTGCACCTATTGTCGGCAGACCGCTGAAAAACAAAATTTCTTCAGCATTTCTACTTTTAAACCTCTCATCCATAACATCATGTCTCTAGATGATAGCAACATCCTACAGACACCACTATGCATATCTTCAGAAGTTATATGCCGACCATCAAATATGCCTTTCTACTTATTTTCTAATAGGAAGATTGGGCACAATTACTACTGCGTAAGAAACATATCAAACATGCATTCTACTAACTTCAATTCCACTGCAGTGATAGAATGCTTGGGTTTTGAAATTCCAGTCGTTTTCTAACAAGTTAGCAGTCGAAATGACAATATGCACTCTCCCAGTACTGCTTTCAAAAATGGAAATTTTGGAATGATGCGTCCCGAACGGTATCATTAGGCGTGCTCGTCCAACAGTGACGTTATTTACTCCACATTGCTTTACAGCAGTTCTAGTTAATGTAAAATCGGTCCCCATTCTTTCGCCTACAATTAATGTAATTGGTCCTTGTCGCAATCGGGCTGGATACTGCCTGTAAACGACATTTACAAAAACCAAATACATGACAACCAATTTTAGAGCTAATACAAACCATAAAGTGACTACTGCTTAGTTCGCTTTTCCTAATAAGAACTCACAGCCGTTTAATCAACATTTGCAACAGTTTATTTGTTAAGGGAAGTTGTCATCACTTTGAAAGGAATTGAAGATAATAAATAAAATACTTTAAATACTTCTTTAAATGCAACCCCTACGATGGCATGAAATATTGAAACTCATATATGACAGCTATTTAGTGTGCAATACCTGGTAAATTTGCAACTAATAGTTAAATATTGGTATAAACAGGGTTAACAGACTATAATATCTAAGTAACTACCTTTTAATTCATACAAATTAGCAAAACAGTAGTAACAGTCATGACAGACACACGCTTTTATTTCGTAACTTACTGCCATTACAAAATATCTGCTCAAGACTCCATACGATAATGGACCTCATACTGCCAAGAATATATATATCAAAGTACTTACTCAAGTAGCCATCGAAGATCGATCATGAAATTAAAATGGATTGATGCCACAGGACAGATATGTTCTAATAATTCCGCAAAAGAAAAAGCATTAATATTATACTCTTCATCTACATCTACAACCTGAAAAAGAATGGTGACAACTCCTCAATCATGCATGAAACATGACGAGGAAATGTTCCCTGGTTAAGTCGTACAAATCAGTTCAATAACTTTCCACTACCTTATGTTATTTGCTTTCCTCACTCCTCCACCTTCTCCCCTCTTCTTGCTTCAATCTCTAACTGCCAGTAGCATGTAATTTTCTGGAAAATTTATTCCCCAATAAAAAGTTTCAGAGAAAACTTGAGAGAAGTCAAAAAATTTGAGAGAAAATTAGACACTAAATAGTGCTCATATGACCATATCTGAATTTGAAACTGACCTTGTTGAAATAGAGTCTATCCGTCAAACAACTTTGTTTCATACGTTTCCCACCGGATTCTTCTGTTCCAAAATCACCACACTCTTGACCCGCTCGTGTCGACATTTCAACTATCCCCCGTTTCATCTCTAAAATATCGTTAGAGTTCAACCTGCACATGTGAAAATAAACAAACAAAGAGCTTATAGAACCGGTAATGTAATCAAATCATACCAGACTTATTCCCTAATTTCTTCTAGACTAAAACAAACTGTCAACAATTAGTTACAAATTCGAAGCGCGGCAATACATAATTTAACGCGGCCTATATGCTTCTTGTTTACAACTTTAAATGGATAGTACAGTTCAGACCATTAGTAATGGTCTACAGTTTTGTGTTTAAAGTTTTGATCAAATATCACTAGATTTAAAGTTGAATTTGAAGCAATTCATTCACTTATTAACATAGCTATGATACACTGAGAACAATTCGAACTCATTTACGATGTACTTCATATTCCATCTCGTGCCATCACCTTGTTTAAATTAAGGGAAAACTTCATCCACATTACATCATCAATTCCTTCCAAATTTAGTTTAAAGACTTATTATATTATCCTTTCCTGATCCCAGATTTTTAACATAGGATTCGAGAGATGAAAATTTTTAGTTTATTCAAAATTCTACTGAGACCCAATTTTTAATTTCTGAATGTCAGTAATAGTTCGTATTTCTCATATTCAAGAATGAAAGAAAGTATTTTATCCATCACCACAAATACATACATTTTTTCCGTAATAAATTTGTAACACCTTTCTCTCACAAAGCAACAATTCATTCAAATACAATATCTAAGTAAAAAATACCGAGAAAACCGCTCAACTGGTAAAGTAAAAAGTGAAATGACAATAACTTTGAAATGATTGGATAGAAACACATTTGAATATTATGCAAATATAATTGTATGAATCTAATATCGATGAAAATATGAAAGTCTTTTTCCTATCACAAATTTTCATTCAATCTAATAATGGTCACATGAAAATGTGAAAGTGAATAATACGGCAGTTCCCTACTGCATTGATTAATACATGCATAAATTTCAGGTGACCAATGCTGAAGATGAACGAGTACCATTGGAAAACCTTTAGGACTCGATACCTCCATCTTCTATTTCTCTTGACGTGCGCTAAAAAAATAATAATAATAATAATTAGGAGATATTTTATGCTCTTGTAAAATTTTCCGAAAAAAAACTGTAACACTGATAGAATACAAAATAAATGATAACAATGAAACCTACACGACAGTTCCTAAAGAATGAAACACGCTCTTAAGAAATGTCAGTATCAAATAAGTTTTGTGTATTTACTGATTCCTAAAACATTGATATTAAGAAAATAGGGAAAGCATAATAAGTTCTTTTATAATTTTAAATATAAAAGTTAAAAAAAAAAATGTTGGTACTTGAATCTCATATTAATTGCGGAAAGCTTTCTTACAATATTCCTAGTTTTATTCAGATAAAATTTAAAGTGTTTTGAATTATAAGGTTTATAAGGTTCATGAATCATCACTGCTAAACATGGTAAATCGAACGAATATTCTTTAATAGATCTTAGAAATCTTAAATCGAAATAACTGGGTAGAATATTCATACACCAATCGCAAAATCCTGATCTTGATCTTTCTGTCAATTTTTTTTTCAAAGCTTTTCCCTAATTCACTTATAATCGACGACAGGTTACCGTCATTGTATCCACATCGGTCTCAAACTGATATACTTGTTCAATAATATGATGTGTGTGACTATATACGAGCTCTATAGTTGAACCTGAATTTAGAGGATTAATTAATTTTACACTAAATTGTTTTATGATGATCAGAAATTTAAAAGAGAAAACATGAATAACTCATAAGAATTGACATATGGATGTCGTAAGGTAATAACAGTATAACAGGTGTCATCATTGAAATTTTGAAGCACACCGACTGCATCGTCAACCAGTGACCAAGAATGTTAACCAAGTGAGAGAAACCTTTTTCTTTAGTTCTTATTAATGTTTTTTATTTTAATGCACTCAATACTGACTGAAAACCTTCCTTGTTGAACATATAACCTACGCCTAAACTTGAAAGGTCAAATGCTCTGAAATGATCACATTTTATTCTCAAAATTCTATTTAATTCACAATTTTCAATCATATGCCCATGTAGGCCGGGGAATGTTACGGATATTCTCAAGATAAGTCATTCATTGACTTACATCACCACTACAGTACAGAAACGTTCTAAAATCTTTCTGATTTATCGTAGTGATAAAAAATATGAGTGTTAAAACTATTCACTATTAATAATAATAGCAATTAATAATAATAATTGCTAATAATACTAGCTGTTAATAATAATAATAACAATAATAATTATGACAATAATAATTAATAATACAATCAATAAATGTCTCAATTAATAAAAAAATTTTTTTTGCGAGAGTTCTTCAAAACTTCAATCTAATAACATCCAACATTTTTTTAAATCATTGTACTTGAAATAACTGCTGCAATGGGCATCACGTCGAACATCTGGTTGAACAGGAAAACATGTTTAGCTGTGAAGAAAATTGGAACTGACACTGAATTAGCATGAATTAGTTGTTTCAAATTTCATTAATTTTGAAAATACAACTCTGCTACAACACTAGTGAGATTTGAAATTAGGTCGAACAAATAGCATAGGAAATTTTTATAGAGCACTATGAAAATTGAAATGCACTACTTGATGATAGCCAAACAGTTGAAATCCAGCATATTTCGGTCAGTTTAGATAACTGGTTATTAGGAAAAATGAAAAATGTCAAGATACTAAGTCCGGAAAAGATAAAAAGTCGATCGATGATCATTGGGCAAGAATTTGTTGTACTGAGTGTGTCTTTATCAAATACCAAATAAACTTAGCAAACATACCTGTGTAGCAAAAGACGGTTTGATGTATTTTCAGAAGTTTTAAAAGATCTCGGATAGACACTATCGAGCGAAAATCAGACTTGGTATGTTCCTTCAGCTTTATATATTACTACAGAATGAATTAAATATTAATGAATTAAAAAAATCAGCTATTTATAATTTTCCTTCAAGGGTAACTACTGTCATTTAATGTTTATTAAATCAGATAAAATCGACCAGTTTTTTCAGGGAAGGCAAGTATAGACTGATTACAATGCAGTAACTTTTGGTAGACAATTATACCTTCTAGATTCCTATTTTTATGAATTGTTCTATCATCGCTCTTCTAAAAGGAAAAAATTCAAGTTTTTTCTTAAAAAATGAGATGTGATAAATAATCAGTCAGTATAATGTGTTTTATTAAGCAAAGCACATTTTTTTTGTATAAATCACCACCATGAATATCCAAAAACCACATATTTACAAACTTTTAGATGAGATAAAATGAACACATCCCCGAGCATATTTCTCATTGAGCAAAGGATCACACCAAAATTTCAGTCGACAATATCGCTTACTAGACCATTTTCAGGACATAATAACGGGGAATTACACATATATACATTAATTATCAACAACTGGCAATAAACTGAGAAAAACAACACAAGGTCAAAAACATGAGATAAAATAAGGAATGGATTTCAAAAATGAAGATGACCGCAACTGAAATAATTACATTAAAAACATTTTTTATGTTTTTAATCATCAAGCCGAGATTTTTTACATTTAATGTTGTCATTAACAGTGCCACTATTATTAGAGGTATTCGAAATTACTGTTGAAGCATTGTTATTCCATCCAGATACTTCAAAGGAGTGCGCTATTGAAGAAGCATTATAACGATCGTACTGAAACAGAAAGCAATATTGCTTATAAAAAATAAAGAATTACACAACAAAAAAATATATAAGTATATTTTCAAGAAATATGCATGAAGTAACATAATAAGATTAGAATATGGAAGCACGCTTTCACTTAATTTCATAAAAGTTGAAATGCAATAAATACACTGCAGTTATTGAAACATACAACCTACAGCAATAGCTTAATGAGCCAACCACTATATAAGACACTTTACCTTTTAGGACAACTAAGATTTCAACTTTTAAAGACTCTTTTAAGTAAAGCTGAGGAAACCAGTGATGAATAATGGAACTGAGATTTAGTTCTCCAACTAAAAAAAAAGTACTTGTGACAATTCCCATAATTCTTCAATGCTTAATTTTTCTCCGATATCTGAACTTTTGGAATGTTTATCAAAAGTTGACGACGTATCACTTTCACGTGATTTCCTTGGAGAGTATGCATCAAGACTAGTTCCAGGCGATACGTCGTCTATCGCAAAAAGTTCCATAAGTTGCTCCGTCGCCATTGTTTGCAAAGAACGGTTATCCGCACCAACTAGGGCCTAAAAAATGAAATAGTATCGAGCCGAACTTTGATGTCACCTTTATTTTAAAACCAACGCTTCTAACCAATACCTTCAAAGTTTATTACTCTTGGCTATGAGTAAGTGTATTCGGTTATACATGAATAAATATACATAGAACCAACATTAGCTGTATCTGTCTTGAATTTTTGCAATCGCATAATTTTTTGCTCAATAGAACCCTCCGTAATTAATCGATAAACATTCACAGCACATTTTTGTCCAATACGATGAGCTCGATCCATAGCTTGCAAGTCCTTCACTGGGTTCCAGTCATGTTCCAAAAAAATAACAATATCGGCTCCGGTTAAATTGAGCCCTTCACCACCTATCTGAAAAACTTTATAAATAATCAAAACATATACGAATGATAAAATTGAGAGCAACAGCGATAGAAAACTTGAATCAAGCTAAAAAGATGCTATTCATTTCGAGCAAATTGGTTAAATCATGAAATGTTACACTTATCAGAAAGATGATGTTCATCCCTCCAGTCACATCATCAGAATAAACAGTGCAATAAAGACTAGTGCTGTTTTATTTCGGAATCCAAAAAGTGCAATTATCTCTTCGAATTTCTTAAACATTAAGAATATTATAAGTGATCTTCTATACGACTCTACACAAAAGCTTACATTTGTCGTAAGTATCAGTACATGTATACTAGGATCAACATTAAATTTTTCAGCAACGGCATGTCTCTCATTTACGGGTACCGTACCATCCAACACAGCAAATCTAAAATTAATAAAGAAAATGATGAGTAACTGCACAAATATTTTTCGCTAGCTAAAATCTAATATAATAAAATTTCTTCCTTTTAAAACTCGATTATATGCAAGGATGACAACTTTAAACACTTTCCCATGTCAACTCCAGGACTATTTGTTTTCTGCTTTGTTATTCATGAGGGTAATTTATCCAGAAGTTAAAGGAACATTTCCTAATTCACTTCCAATTAGTGGAACGGTTGCTGTTATAAAGATAGGGCTATTAAACCATAAATGTTTTAGTAAGTAACCTTATATCAGATCCCAATTCTCCTGAACTGAACAAATTCACAAGCAGTTGAACTGCAGACAATCGTTGACAAAAAATAAGCGCGCGATGACCGTTACCAGTTTGAGATATTTCGCTATCTGCAATATACTTACGAAAAACTTATGAAAAAAAAAAAAAACGAAGAAAAAAACATAACAAGAAAAACAACATTAGTTCTTTTATTTTTGAATAATCACAGTATTATGAAAATTAACCACTCAGGGAGAAAAAGCGATTTGCATGAGCGAACCTTTCAATGGCATTTCATAAGCAAAAAATTTAGTATCATTAGAAATAAACCAGATGCAGTGGAATATGAAAAGCGGACTGAGTATTTCAAGCAATATTACTTTTTATGAATTGCTAACCGCAAATTTTACAAAATGAACGGTAATACTAAACCATATAAGTTAGCTTATATTGAGTTATCTATATATAAACGTAAAAAATCCCTTTACTGAAGAGAATTGAAAGTCACCCTGTAGTGTAGATTCTTCAGACAGTGCATAATGTTCTCGTGAACCGATACCGCATTCTTTAAGAAGCTCTCGCAAGGCAATTATTTTACCAGATTCTTCAACACAGCCCTTCAGCTTCTCTAAGTCCAGACTGAAAGGTGCACAAAACAATATATAAATGTAAAATTCGAACTTGGAAGAGACCGTTAAATCCCGTTTGATATGATCAAAAAGCGCAGGAACACTTACTCTTCCAGGGATTTGTGACTCACTAGGGAAGGATGAACAGTACACTTCCGAAGTTCAGCAATGGTCTCTAGAGCACAAAAACTTGGACGATTATTAGTAGAATTTCGACGAGCGGATTGGTACATATCGACAATGCGATTGTATAGAAATCGTTGTACCGTGGTCATGCTGCACATGTAATCTTGCACAATCTTCTCAGGCAAATCTTCAAGAACGTCTGTTTTCAGGCGTCTCATAACAAATGGTAAAACTGATTTATGTAGCCGTTCCAACGCATCCTGACCTTCCTTAAAGAGATAATTTCATGCAAAGAAATTTCGTAACTTCATTTTCAAAACTATCAAAACCACCAGCAGTTATATGCAAAAGAAATAAGAATATAGTACAAAAGATTTATGAAAATCAAAATCAATAAAGGTGAAACATTACAAAAGTTTAAATTTCTTATATATGAATTTCAATGAATAATCCATATCACATATATACGCTAAACATGTACCTTTATTTCCTGAGCGGAAGCGTTAACATTTCGCGACCCATTTATTGCATTTAAAAAGGTCAATTTAAACTGTCTGATTGTCCCCAAGTAACCAGGCATCAGGAACTGAAGCGACATGAATCAGGCATACTGCACTAGCTTTATTCCAAGAAAATTTTAAGAATATATTGAGATTCTACAGAACAGAAAAGGCATCGAAAAAATTTTTCATTTAGAACTACAAAGGAATATAACACATCTATATGTCTGAAAGTAAATGATTTTGTAAAACAGGAATCTAAATTTTGAAAAGCTAAAAAACCAATACCTGAAAAAGAGACCAGAGATCTACTGGAGTATTTTGAACAGGAGTTCCAGAAAGTATGAGGCGGTTTTGTGCTTTAATGTTAGTTAAAGCTTTGAACAACTGCGTAGTAGGATTTCTTATCATATGACCCTCATCTAAGATTATGTAGTACCATTCTATTTCTCTGAAAACAGTAATGATGACCGTAACCGACACTTGTTACATTTTTATAAACACGAGATTCAAACTTACTGAACACAGGTGCAAAACCGCACGGTGTTGTACGACATAACTGTGACTTTCTGTGACTTATCCATCAATAATCTCTTTTCTCTATAACCTTCCTCGATTTTATGAAATGGTGATAAGGTTGGAAAAAATTTCGACCATTCCGCACACCAATGATTAACCAAAGTTGGAGGACACACAATAAGAACCTTTAATAATCTTAAATATTATATTGAATAAGAAATCTTTTCATAGCAAACTATTCAGCGTTTTCTCGATCACGGAACAATGTTCTAAACGGTTGTTTATGTCTCTTGATTTCGCACCATAATCCCTCACTGTTTTCCCGCTTTTTACTCCTTTATGCTGACAAATCTCCCAAGGTATTTAAATCTCAAAGACTGTCTTCAATAACAATAAACTTAATTAGGTCGAATAGATTATTAGTATTTCACTAACTTTTGCTTGAGGTTTGTGATAGATTTTCATTGCCAATAAACACAGTGTTTGAAGGGTTTTACCAAGTCCCATATCATCAGCAAGTATGCCATTCAATCCATATTCTTCTAAGAATGACATCCACCGAATACCCTCCTGCAAGTTGAAGAGAAATTGTATTTATAGAAATGGTAGTCAAGATAACTATTCCTCACCATTTTGATAATGATAAAAGTATTAAAAACTGTTTTAAAGTAAGAAGAAATACAAATACTGATACGAACTTGCTGATAATGTCGTAAAGAAGTTGAAGCGTTTAATCCTTTAATATCAGTCAATCGTAATTCCGGTAAACGACTAGGATCACCTAGCAACAAATCAAGAGAATTATCACCAAATATTTCATCTGCCACATCATTTTTCAGAAGTGACTGTTCTTCGATTCTTCGATTCTAAAAGTAAATACACCGTAAAACTTCATAAAAAAAAAACACTAAGTAATACAAAAATTCTTACAATTAAATATAAAAAACTAACTGCTTTTAATGTCATCAACGGTACAAAATTACGGAAAGATATTGCTGCGACTTCACGTACAATATGACAGCTATCTGCCATAAGACGTAGAGATATTGGAGCCAATAAACGAAGACCACCCAGCATCTAAACAAAGAATGTTGTCTGATTATAAATGCAATCAAATTTGATAAAGGTGACAAATTTCATTATATAGCAGATCAAAAATCAACGACGAGCTTACTTCAACGTGAAAGTCACTAAGGAGAAAGAGAAGTTCCACAAGACCGCATCGAACGTGCGCCCGTGTTTCACCAGTGCGTAATTTTCGCTGCAATGGTGCTACTGCAGCCTGTAGCACTGATCGGAGAAATCCGTCTATACGAGCAATATTACTCAAACATTGAGCAGCACAATACCGGACAACTGCATTTTCTGCTATAAAACACAAATTCTTGAGAGTAAAAAAAAAAAGAACCGAACATCTCCCGGATTAATTTCCTGTATAAACTTTTAAAAAAATAGAATTACAACGTGAAAAAAGGCAGACAGAAAGTAAAACATACAATAAAGGTAACCTACATGTCAAGTGTATTCCAAGCTCCAGGACGATGTCAGAGAGGTCAGGCGGAACACGCCGTTGTATTCTGCTTTCATCAATGAAAACAGTGTAAGCCATCATAAACATAGCAGTTTCCTTAACGGCAAAACGAAATGTCGTATTTAAGATTTTAAATTATGATAAATAACATGAATATCCTCCACACATTCGACACACGCAGGTATTAAGTAATTTTTCTTTGTCCTCATTATGTACTCACTCAGATTCATGTACGCTTATAACTGCCCATACCACTATGACCAATAGGGAGCATCAATTCATTACACCTCCACTGACTTGAATGCTATATGCTCCAGAAATAAATTAAGAGGAATCTGATCAAGTTCACTAGTTGGGATGCGCAATATAAGTTACCGACAGTCTCACTAGATTCAAAAGTTAAAGATCAGCATCACGCCATCGGAAAGTTAATATGGCCGTATTCGCCTTGATAAATTCATTATACAATCGTACAATTTTAACATTTAAGTCATGGTCTGAAAAAACCATGAAATTGTATTATGAATTAAGCCCTATAAGCAAAGATATAAGTCTTTATAAAAAAATAGGACACACCTTCAAGGAACTGCGATTTCTGAAATCCAAAAGCGAAGCCATATCTGTTCCAGCAACGGGTGTCACCAACATACGAATGACGTATTCTGCGTTCTGAGACCGTGAAGAAAAAGGTCCTCTTGCACATTGTGATAAGATCACATCCTCACTGCAAGATTTATAAAATATGTGCATAATATAACAAGACAAAAGTGCCTTACTTTAAGTACAAAATCTACGAGATTAGTGAGACCGGAAGGACATCATTAATCTCCAACGCCTGAAATTTCATCGTAACAAAAAAAGCAGAATGCTTCTTTCATTAGTCAAGAATGCTAACCTGTCACTTTCTGGAGGGAATCGATTAGTACATGAAACCAAACTCACAACTATTTGCTTGATCATTTTTGCGTGGGGATTTGGCTGCTTTTCTGGAAAACAACCACTACTATTATACATTGAGACTGCATCATATGTATATAATTAGCACAGAAGTTTTCTCAAATTTTAAGACGATGACTTTTCTTCACATTGTCAGCTAGTGTCATTTCAGCAGTGCTTTGAATTGATGATCAGAAGAAAAGAAAATATCAGTGCACAAAAACTCGAGAACAGCGACCATTTAAGAGTGAGGATTTGACTAGTTACGACAAAAATTATTTGAAGGAACAAATTTTTACCAGAAGCTATTCGAAACAAAATCGGTATCGAATTTAGAGCATACTGCGCAAAAGTTATGTTTTCTTCAAAACGAATAAGTTCCATGAGGGGTTTTACGAAAGGATTGAGTGATGGAGAATCCAACAAAGATCTTGGATAAATCAATAGTAAGGAGGAAACAGTCAATGCATTAACACGTCTGCAACAACTAAATTGATTTAAAAAATTTGCTGCTTTTAACATGAATAAATTTGCGCTAGTGTTAAGTAATTTCCAAATAACCAAATCTCGCATTTTATATGATAAATCCACCAAAACCTGTCAGCATTCCGCAAACACGTTGTATAAAAATCAACGACTTACGAGATATTTGATGTCATCACTGCTTTGGCTGTTGCGACGGCATACTTGAAACTTTCATACCTCAAACGCAGTATTTCCTTGTCGTTCGTTTCTCTCAGAATGTTGTGGCAGATATTGTAAAGTGCACTAAATAGATTCATTATCAAAAGATACAATTGGCAAGTGGCAGCCATTTTGAAGACCAAACATATCACCAAACATACGGAGTAGGAAATAAATTTTTAAAATAGGTAAACAAAAAACGAAAGTAAAGTACCAATATCAAAGCAGAAGAATCTAAAATGAGCAAATATAATCTATAATAATAATAAATTTTATATATCAAATCTGATAAATAATAATAACAATCAAAAAATAATTTTGAAACCTTGCATTGTTATCAACAGTATCGCCATGTGCTTCCACATCTAGTAATTCAATTGCACTAACTCCTTTCTTTCGACAGTACGATGCAAAATCTTTATAAGCATTATCAAGGTATAAAAAAAACATCTTTTCGTCATCATAAGCAGCATTTGGTGACATAATTAAACTGTGAAGCACTTCTGTTATATAACTGGGGATATCGGTAGTTATTCCCGACCTCCTGGAAGAATAATACCGTTGCTGTTAGCACCGATAATTTTATTACAGTATGACCAACGATTATAGCGTTATAGGTGGAACTTATTTCCAACCCATTTTTTAAGATGTTTTGTTTTCCAACTAAATAATATTTGATGGCAGTGATTGTGCTAAGAGCAAGAAAAAAGTTATTTCAATGTACTACAATATATTTCAAAGAATTCTTTTTTGATTTCAGAAATTTTAATTAGTGTTCAGCATCTCAGACGACGCAATCCTTGACCGAATAACGCTCTCCGAGACTATAAAGATTTGAAAAATACAGCATGAAAGTGTTGTTATCTCATCCTTAGTTACTTTACCTTATCCTAGATTTTCATAAACAACACTGATGGAAAATTTTGATGATGTTAAAGCAAGCTACCAGAAGATATATTAAACTTACCATGCATATGTAAACCATGCATGACTTAACAGTACTCCGCCAAGTCTATGCATGATTACCAAGGACTTCATCGTAGGAATAATAAGCAGCTGAACTGCTTCACTCAGTAACTGGTCGCCTATCTAAAAATTATAATAAAAGTTAATAATATAACAGACACAAAATCATCAAAGCAATTTTAAAAAACTGTTCAAGCTTTAATATCATTTAAAAATAATCACGATCATCTGCGCTGCAAACCACTCAATACGGCATATTTCTCGATTACGAACATGATTAAATTTAGTATGACCTTTTGCGGAGCTTTTTATCAGATACAAGACGACAATATAATCTGTTTAATGTAGAGTTAGTGCAAAGTAAATTAAATGACAGTAGTTACCCTTGAAGGAAAATTATAAATAGCTGAAATTAGAGGGGCTAGAAAACGAGCCACATGTAGTTTACGCGTTAGGACAACATCAATCCGAATCATATCGCTCAAAGATCGTATTTCATCACCACATAAGCATTCCGTGGGACTCCGGCCAGCGCTTGCACCCACATTGCATTTTTCGAGATCTAAAAAGCACATTACTTTTGCAGAAAAAAAAAAAGAAAAAGTTAGGCTTAAATACGGTGGTAATGAATAATAAGGCAAAAACGAACCAATTTCTGCATTCCGCGCATCAATGAGAAGACAAGCAGTCCAACGACCAATTGTTTCAACCAAAGCTTGCGGTAAATGCTTTACAAATATAAAATGCTCGACGATACGATGAACGCATAATATACAAGCTTCGATGAGATCCTCCGTATCTTGCGGTCCAGCAAAAAGTACAACACGAAATAAAGATGCTAATACTGACATTGTACATGTTTCGAATTCCTCGCACTCATGGTTATCCTGAAAAGGATTTTTATATAATTCTAGCTTGACTTGTGTAGGTACTAAAGCCTCTGCAAAGAATATAAGTCTGGTAATTCTAGAACTTCCATTTGACCCATGCGAATTCAATATTTCATTGACAAATTTATTTGCTTAAGCATACAATCCATCGCTATGAGCAAAAAGGTTTTAAATCTATCACTTTTGATCTAACAAATACTTAAATAGTACGGTTACCATATACACCAGTTACAAAAATAATGAATTCATATCAGACATTATTCAGTTCTATTTTCATTGCTAAATTAAAAATATAAATATTGTAAAGCCTAAGTCCGACACATCACTACCAAACTTCTACGTTTGCCGAAATCTGGTAAAAAGAATGAATTAAACGTTTAACCTTTAAAGGCGATCGTCTTGAGAAAGATACGGAAAAAACACTGACTACTTTAAGCGATAAAGTGATATGTAACGGATCCAAAAGATGAGAAAGGTTATTTGACACGGAATAGGGTAATTTTCGTGAAGAATCACCTTGCAACCAAATAACTAACAACGACAAAAGATCAACTGCTACTGTGTCAATATCCAATAACTGAAAAAAGTATTTGATATCTCACATTTTATAGTAATTTTTCAGTTTCATAAAGCGACCAATTCAGCAATATAATCGACTTAACCTGATTTCTCGAGACACTGCATGTAGATTCAATAAAACGATAAATAACGTGTTCTACATGTGAGATCATTTCCGAAACTTCTGGCTTCAAATCATCTTTGCAGAAAAGAGTTGTGATCGCGGACAAAGCTGAAGCACATACCTAAAATTCAGTTTATGGGAATATAGTGCAATGTACATATAATAATTTTTTTAAAGCGAAAAAAGAAAAAAAAAAACTCAGATTTATAGGAAATGAATTAATTCTGCTACACTTATTTATCAGTTTGCGTTTTTTTGCTTCGTTCAGTTACGAAAACGGAAATGTTGGTTGTTATCATTCTCATTACAAAAGGTTTTTTTCTTTCCTTTTTTTTTTTTTTAATGGTAAAACCAATATTTCAAACAAATTAAGATACAACCACACATCAAACCTCGTCGTGGGAATCCTCAAATGAACACAGTAATAATTTGAAGACTTCATTGAACTTAACATCATAGTATGGTCCTGCTAAATGATACTTTATTATTAACAGTGCCGCTTGACGATGGAACCATATCTAAAAATATGCAAACTAAAAACTGTTGACACATATCAAGTCTGCTCCATATATGACATGTCCCTGTTCCATTACAAATTATGCGAACACGATTCAAATAACAATTTCTATAGCAATTTTCATCTAATTTTTATTTCCTCGTATATATAAGAAATGATATATACACTGTTAGAACCAGATATCTATAGTTGATAATTACCAATCTCTAATTATATTTTATAGAAAACTTACGCGTTTGTGAGACTCCAAATCATTAGCGTTCTGACATTCAGTTTGGATACCATCGGTCATTTTATGCAATGTATATATATGGTCAAAAATAATATCTACAAATTCTGGAGTTGAGAAAACCATTGTCAGGCGTGCAATACATTCTGCAACTGCTTCCCGAACTGGACCTACTGCTGTTCTAAATAAGTTTATGAACGATAAAATTATGAAATTTAAAAATTTTAGAACATAGAGTAAATAATTTACCGGGAAGATGTCAGAATTCAACTACCTGCAATTCGAAAAGAATTTAGACAAAAGTGAACAAACAACTAACCTTCCAGAAGAAAAATCAATGAATTTATCAAGCGCAATAGCTTGGAGAAGTCTAGTTGCTAGAATGTCCACCAACAATGAAGAAAGCCTTAAAATATAATATCGCTTAGATTCAAACAACTGATTAAAATTTCTTGAAAATTTTCTGAAAAGAGCCCCAATTTAATCCTTAAATGATCCCATTAAATCAAGGCAAATGGTCTAACACACACCGCGAAGGAGCAATTGTTAAGATACACGCAATTGCTAGAGCAGCTCCATGTCGAATTTCCCACTTGACATCAACTACATCACGCATCAACTGGATACAGATTGAATAAACTGCTGCATCTAACTCTTCCAAACTATCATCACAATCAATAGCATCAGAAGTTACAAGATCTAACTGAAACTCATTAAAAACGTACAGAAACAGTGCATTAAATAAATACCGATCCTAGTAAGAATCATCTAAATGACTGCTAACAGCATAAGGTATTTAAATTCATTCCATACGAAATGCAGGGATGATAGGAGGATTTAGTACCTCTAATAAGACTTGGTGCTTACTAGAGGAGCTAAAGCAATGAAAAAAATAAGAATATACTGCAGTGGACTGCAATGCAAGAAATCCTGCAATCCATTAAAACTAAATTTCAGCCACCCAGAACAAATAATTGGTATTAAACCAAGGATTCCAATAACATTACACCTTTTACTTTATATTATTTTAATAATTTTCTCCGCCAAACTATTAACGAAAAAAAAAAAAAAACTAATAAACCTTTTTCTCCGGGATAGTTTCTTTGACATTTCCAGATGAACTAAAATCATCCTCTGAAAGAAAAGTTCCAGATGAGATACCAACAACAGACTGGAAATCTAACTGTTCATCAACCAATTTCCGTTGTTCACCAAAACTGCAGATACCCATTCGTGTCACCAAATCCGCCTCACAGCTAGAACTCGAGTTCATAAATCCAAGCACTTCACTTTTCACGTAGTGAATTTGTCAACAAAACAACCTTAGACTACTAATAATAACTTACCTGAGTAATGGGTGATAAGTTCGTACAGCATCTCTCAGATTCAGTCGAGAAACACTATCGATTCGCGGTGACACAACCTGACTTTTAGAAGGCATAGCTTTAAGAATAGCCCGGAATGCCTCAACTGCTGCCTCTCGTGTATCCCATGCACTAGATTGGAAATTATTCCTTCAAAAACAAAAAGAAATTGAACCACTTGATATATACATATATTATAATAAGTAATATATAATTCTCTATCTTCATAACGAAAGATCTTGACTGAGCAATCTCAACTAGTCGCTACAGTAAACCTAATGATTCCTTTAAAATTTCTAAGTATCACTAACAGAAGTATGACGGCTAATAAATTGCCTGCAAAATTTCAAGATATTACATGTTAAGCATACTTCAGAATATCAATAACGTAGGAATTTGTAAGTGGAAAATGGCCAAGAGCTTGAGCGGCTTCACGTCGTACTAAGGCATTGCGTGATGATAGCAGTGCACCAAGCCGTTCTATCCTGTTCGCCTGCTTTTCCATTTTTTCTTGCAGTGCTTTGCACCATATAAAAAAGCTAACCTGAAATACAAAAACTTTTGTTTTAGGAAAACTTTATAGTAATATACCTAACTCTTACACAAGTATGCTACTAAATCGCTTTTATAGGCATGGTTATGTCGGAGAATGGCAAATTCATGAAGCCCTGATTACTGATTACTGAAAACTCCGATTCAAAACGCTTATCGCTTTAATTGTCCAATCATTCAGAATACAGCATTTCTTGGTGCTGCATATCAAGCAAATTGATGTCGTAAGCCTTATGCGTTACTACACAATGTTGGATGTTTACTATTACGGAAAGTTATGAAGTGCTCATCACACATATGTCTGTAATATTACATCCACAAATTTCTACTACATTACATGATATATCGAAAAGATGCATATTTAAAGTAAAGAAAAAAGGTACTTAAATCAACACTATACAATCGCCTCCTGCAGGTTCCTACCGAACTATCCAAACGTTTACAACTAGAATTAAAACTGACGGCCGACCGTAAAATATTGGATTGGATAGTTTGAATAAAGACCAGGGTGGCTAAATTTTTGGCTTGGCTGGAGGGTTCGCCTAATGCTCGGTGAGCTCTTCTTGATTTGCTACAACTTTCTGGAATGTATCGCGCAGTTATTTCCATTATTAATTAGCAGCAGTTTAAATTGGGTTGGTTTAAAATTCACGCCAACTATGCACGATCTACATTTAGTCTGAATCAAATTAGCTTACAGTGTTAGCTATATTATATTGTTCACTTCTGTGCTATTTGGTTTTAATTAATTTTCAGCTTGTTTATGTCGTTCATCGCAACTATTTTATGAAATCATGCATGTATGTGTCACACTCGCCTAATTTTTCATTAAAAAATTATTACAAGACCTCGATGCACTGACAAAAATTAAACGTAAGATCATCTACTTACCTGTGATACCTGCAGTCTAGTTGGGAATGCGACAACTATTTCCGTATCTTATCGTGTTTCTTAAAGATTTCTTTCATTCTGAAATACACTATGGAAATAAAATAAATTGCTCTGAATAGATTCCTTGCACTTTTTAGTTCTTAATTTCATTCGATATATTCACATTTTTTTTCGCAGGATGGTAATTAAAGCATGTTTTTTCAAGAGTATATCTTGTTGCAAAAGTATGGAGAGAACTGATTGAAGCATTGAATTAAATATTGCATAATTTTTGAGTCATCGATGATGCACAGGAATTACTTTCTCATTGCAAGAGATAATACAGAAAAGTTGAAAAGAAAACAAATTCGGCGACAGGATAGAAAGAAAGTTGGATTCCCCTCATAAAACACCACCATTGTACACTTGAAAAACTAGGGATTTACTCATTTTTTTACTCAAACTATGCATATATGACTTAATAATTTGCAATTTATTATCTGCAAATAACCCCACATCATACTACTACTAACTCATTTCGAATCATTGGTTTAAGGACGTTGAAAAAAACCGTATGGTTCATTAAATAACGGTAATGAAATAATATTTACATTTTCATAGTATCAATCGTCTAAAAAGCCCAATGTGAACAAACTAATTGATTAATTCTTCTTTTAAAATTTATTTCTATTATAATTTTGTGTGGATTTTTTAATGAAATGAATTTATCTCAGTGATAATACAATCATTTCTAAGCAACATTGTAACGAAGTGAAGTTTTTGAAGAAACTTGGGAAAATTCTCATAGTTGAAGACCAATATTATATTTCTATTTCATATTCAGATCATCATTACCTTTAAATGATATGTTTTTCTTTTAAAATTTAATGCTTAACATGATGGTTGAATGATATTGTACTTATCGCAAACTTTCCGTTTCATTTGACAAGTTTTCAAAAACCAGTTCTTTCATATGATGTACAATAGATAAAATCTATTTTGCGAAAGTGATTTATAAATTCAGTGCCCCGTTGATTCTATTCAAATTACTTGGGCTTTTAGTGTGATATTCTCAGAATTTCTGCTGTGACGTATAGATCATTTTCGCCTTTTACTGTTTAAAATTCTTGATGAGAATCATGAATCTAAACTTACGTTTTTTAATAAAGTTCACTGTGATGAAATCGTGCAAAATTATGCAAAACAAAAACTACCAATTATTCAATTTCTTCGTCAGTAGTAATTGAATCAATCATTAAGTTTGTTGAACATTTGCATTTTTCCATGTCGTTGTGTTTAGTGAAATATGACTAAAAATCATACAAAAAGTTTCCTTCACATCTTTTCTTGAGCTAATTAAATAAATGAAAATCTCTATCAAGATCAATTTTGCTAGTTTTAAAGTTTTAAAAAAAGGTCTCATATTTAAAAAAAAAAAAAAAAAGTAAAAAAGTAAATCAATGCTACAAAAGAATTAAGTAAATCGTAGAATTTTTTATGTAGCAGAGCTCATTTTTTAGTATTTTAATACAATTGGTTTAAATCAAAATTGGACGAAAAGGGTTTAGAACACTTAAAATGAAAGCCAATTAGATGTTTTGCATGTGCCAGTTATTTAGCTTAAATAAATTAATGAATCATTCATTGGTTGTAATTGTCATCTTTTTCATCCGTTTCACTTTCTTTTTCTATCGTCTTCGCTGATAACCTCATCAAGCATACCTTTTTTTTATGCACACGTTGTAAAAATATAATCTAACTTCATTTTAAACAGGTAATGAATTAATCTTATTTTTGCGACTAGCTAATAAAATTTACTCTCAACGTAAAATGACAATTTTTTGTGTTTCCACCCATTTTCAATTTTAATTTAATTAGTGTATATAATTGGTAAAACAATCTTCACGTAATATCATCAGCTATGCAACAACAATAGTATCACATTTCCATCTTTTCTTTTCTTCCATTTTCACAGTATTTTTTCGAAAACTTATTTAGAAATTTTATTGCATTATTATTCGTATAGGTTAAATTATGTATCGCATAATTTTAACAAATGTTTTTGAAGATTATTTCACAAATTTGCAAAGGGATCATAGAGAAATATGTGATGAGAGTAATTGATTAAAACCGGTAAAAAAAGTAGTGTCACCTGGATGTTTTGAGATTATCTCAGTGCAACATAAAAGATTGAAAAACGCTGAAAGCAACAACAGTTCTACGAGATTTCTTTAATTTTGTTGTTCGTTGCAAATATGTCAAAAAATAATCAGTTACAAGTTATAAAATATCAAATAGCTATACAGCTATAGAGGTTTATTCTAGATCACTGAATTTTATAATCAGGAATTTTCATAAGACTTTTTTTTTAGAAAATGTAAAATTAATCCTAAGATACAAGATCCAACTTTGATTCTTGACTTCTTTAGCTTCCATTATTATTTCTTAAATGAAGATAATATGCATGAAATAAAGTATCAAATCAATTGTGGTTCATTTTATTTATTAAATTATATATTAATGGAAAAGAATATCCTGAGTCCTGCAAATACTACAAGTTCAATATCCTGGTTAGCCCAGTATGATTCTGTCAGTAACAACAGTGATAAATCTTCATAATGTTTAAAAGTTGGAGAAAGTATACTTCAATTTGTTAGTCAGCTAGCTAGCTAAATATTTGTCTTCGTCTAATTTCTATCTCATTACATTTTGTCATTAAAAAAAAATAACATTAATATTAAATGACAGGAATAATTTTTGAATCATTTTCTTTAATTAATCAAATTATTTTCCACTTATGGTCATTATTTTAATGGTGATAAAAAGAAGAAAAATGAAGCAAAAAAAAAGAAAAAAAAAACAACAAAAGAAAGAGAGAGAGAAAAAAAAAACTAGAAAAAACAAAACAAAACGAAAACTTCGGGAAAGAAATAATACGAGAACGTATAGTCATGATCAATGATCATTAATGTAAAAAAGAAAAATGAAAAAAAAAAACTTTGTTTCACTAACAATTACATGCTAGAATACATTTAAAACATCAGCACATCATATGACATACTAGCAGCAAAAGGTTATTCTCACAGCTGATAGCATTAACACTTCAACAGCACAAGACGAAATTACTCTCGAACAACAGTTATGTTTATATTAATGAATGGAAGAAGCTCTAACGACATTTCATTCCCATAATTATTTCACATATTATTACTATTTTGATCTATTTATTGAATTCAGTAAAAGAAAAAAAAAAGAAAAAAGAAAGAGTAAAGAAAAAGCATACAATTATTTTTCAATTACCAAATCTATATTATTTGTTTCATTCATAATAATTGTTTTAGTTGTCCTAGTTAGTTTTCAATTTACCGAGAAAATTAATAACTAATGAATGAACTGAATTAATTTTATTTTGTTTACTCAAGCAGCAAATTTATTTATTTTTTTTCTATTTTTATCATAATTGAACATTATCTGAATAGCCATTCTACAATCGTTTTTTTAAATTGTTAGAAAATTTGTTAATGTATTTCACGAATTTGATTTTCATATTTAGGATATCTTAAAGGTTAAATATAAACTTATGGTTTCTTTTGGTAATCAAAAATCCAGTTTATTGTTGTCATATTTTGCTATTTTCAATGATCGCGTAGTTGCACTTCGCATTTCTTTATATGATAGTAAAGCTTCTTTTCAAAGAGTTGAAGCAATATCACTGTCTTATCAATGGCAAATTCTTCATTTATCGGTTGATAAAATTCTTTTCATTTTATTTTCATCGATGAAGAATTAACTATTATTAACTCTTAAATGCTAATTTTATGAAATATTAAACAACTGGAACAATATGTTACTCTTGCATTTCAATGAATTTATAGTCATAATAAAGTTAGTCATTTCATTAAAAAATACATGTTCTAATAGTTGCAAATTAGATAAGATATATAATTTAGTATTTTCCGGATCGCCTAGTTTCGGCCAGTTGAGCATTTGGCAGGTGTTTCTTACAGCTTAAACCATCAGCAATGTTGCAATGATTTCTGTCCATGGTATCAATTACTGAACATTTTGCTTTAATTTAAAATTAATATTTTCAAACATAATATGACATTAAATATATTAAGAATCACTCTAGACAATGCACTTTGCAACATATTATAAATTCAAGTTTCATTGCTCTTCTAAAGATAATTATTCGAATCTTTTATTTTTTTTTCTCTCTCTCTTTCCGAAACAAGTTATGTAGTTTGTTGATAAGACAGAATTGTTGTTAATATTATTGATAGCTTGATGATTTTACTTATTCCCATCAAATGTTTTCCTGAATTACTATTATGAAGTAAGTAGGATAATAGTATTACTGATAAGTTATTTTTCCATTTCACTATATTTTGCACTTTATGTTATAAAAAATTTTTTTTAGGAAGCATTCCATATGATTTTTTTTTTTTTTTTTGTTTCCGAAGTGAAAAGTGAAATAGAGGATTTTTTTTTTTTGATGTGAGAATATAGAAGATTTACTTCTTTGTAAATATGTATGATAGTTTGATGATGAAAAGGGATGGAACGGTACCAGGAAGAAATAGCTTTGTTTACTGTGAGAGCGATTGATTTCTCTCCCAGTGCAGCTGATATATTGATGATGACCTTATTTTCTCCTTCTCAACATTCCCTTATCCTATCATTTGTCCCACTCTTTTATCATATCACAGTATGGAAGAGAATTTTTGTTAGTATGGGAA